AATCAAAAAAAATTTTTTTTAACCAAATCAATACATTCTTTTTCTTCATCACTCCCAATTTCTCCAAAGAGGTATGCAAATCAAAACTTTTACTGGCATATTTTTCTTCATCAGTCATCCCAAATCAAAACCTTCATCCATATCACAAATTTCATATATTTCTCTATCATCAATAAATACATCTCTTTCTAAATCAACTTCTCATGTCAAACTAAATTTTGACTCATGATTAGATTTGTATCCAAACTTTGTCAAAAATATAGAAGAGATATGATCAAAATTATTAAGGTGATGGAGAATCAACACAGAACCTTTTATACGTTTCTCCAACAATGGAACCTTTTTACTGTAACATTTTTGTGATGTGATGTATGTGAGATAAAAGATGATTGGGAATATAAAAAGGTGGGTTGAAAAACGTGTTTATGATGCAAGCGAAATATTATTTGGAAAAAATTTTGTATCCAAACACTAAGAAAACACACATACTTCTAAATAACACTAACTACTAAAACCTAGCTTCAATGAAGTTAGTAAATAAATAAATAAGAACTTTGAGGTTTGGTTTATTTTACTGCTGATTAAAGGAGCAATTTACCGAGGAAAGGTCAATAGACGTACCCCCTCGTGCATCACTTTTCATGTACTACGGAATCTGGTCAAGATCTTCCTGGGAGATCGATTAACTTGAATAGTATCACGTTTGCTGCCTATGAACTATCCGAGAAAAATTTTTGCCTGTTGGTTTAAATCTCCAGTCTCTAACCACTGGAACCTTTGATGTTCAATATAAAAAATTTCATGGCATCAACATAAGAAAGTTTATAAATACATGGCGAGTTCTGTGCAGTATGTCATGGAAATGGAGAGCAAGTCAATTGGTTTTAAAGAACTCAAGGCAAATTATAATGATGAAAAAACTTAGGAGGCGACCAGCGCATTTTTATTACTGCGGTTTCTAACTTGGGGACTCAACTAAGAAGGAAAGGCAAAAAGGGGTGCAAAGAAGAGTGTTGGAGTTTACTATCGTAACATCCATCATATTTTTACGCTTATGTAAAACAAGCCAGCCATTGCTATGGACCATTAAAAATGCCATGTGATCGGGCTGGTGTGAGCTTCGGGGTCTAAATTCAGCTGTTCACCTTCTCCCACAATATGCTTATAATTATTTTCAAGATTGATGATTAGGTCAGAAGTTAGTTAGCCGAATCTACAGAGCAGGCTCACTTGTCAAAATGAATGAATTTAGTGACACGTGTCCTCTGAACGGAATGCTACTAAATTGAATGTTTAGCAGTGGCCTCGCTTTTCTTTTTTCCTTTTTTTTTCTTTTTGGGCCTCTCCCTCTTCAAAAAGAAAAAAAAGGAAATAAATTTTTTTTTTTTGTTATCTTCATTTTTAACCTCATACGTACAAAATTTTTATTTTTACGCGGCAGACCACTCGCCTTGTGGATATAGCGATTCATGTCACATTCTGCATCTCTCTTGCCCTACAAACAATCCAACCCTGGAGGACACGGTTTATGGCTGGCCATGGGAGAACTCATTATTTCATTGCCCCATGTATTTTCTTCTTCCAAATCACCCGCCAATTAGAGGATTGGTCGAACAGTTTTTCTCGGAAGAACCGATGTGATGATGAAAAATCTACTATATAATTGCTTCTCAAACTAAAACATCGCTCGTAGGCCGACCCTTTACAGATTATTAGATAATTGTTAAATGTAGCACATAATGGAAAATTACGTAGACTTGCCTATGAATGCCGTGCTCCAAACACTTGTAAATAACACTTATTTAGCTCCGGGATTTAATTTCAACTGAACTTCAAGACAGGTTTGGTTAGCCCATAACTATTGCTATTAATCGAGTCGCGTCGAACTCGAGCACCTGATAATTGAACTCGACTTGAATATTTATTGAGCTAACTCGACCTCGCTCGATTAGTAGTTTGAGATTTAAAAGCCGTTTGATATCAACTCGTCAAACTCGATTTCGAACTCGAACTTGAGTTTGAAAATCGAGCCAAACTTAATGAACTCGAGTGATGGCGGTAGGGTGCTGGATGGGTTGGTGATTTGGTACGAAGGAAGGTGCGGGCGTGGGCTATGGAAAAGGGAAGAGGAAAGAAAAATTAGGGCAATCACAGGAATCCTCGTTTGGGAATTGGAATTTGAGATATCATTATCAGACATGTAATGAAATGACACTAATGCCCTTATATTTCGAGCCTGTCTAATAGTTTGGGAGCCAAGCTCGGCTTGGCTCAATTCATAACCGAGTACATATATAATTTGAATTCAACTTGTTTACTAAGAAAAACAAACCGAATCGAGCCCTTAATGAGCCAACTCGAGCTTGACTTACAAGCTATCCGGTTCGATTAACAGCTCTACCTGTAGCCTACTTCGCTTACGCATCGGTCAAATTAACATGCAACCTATGACACGTTCGGTTAAAGTGAAATACTAGAAAGTTGGGTGTGGGCTGGTAATTGAATGCAAAGATAACTTTGGAGGCTTCTCTCACGCAATTATGGGCACGACTTGATGTACGCAAATGGCTGGAATTATACATGGGATTAAATGCATTAAACCCTAGGCAATAAACAATAATATATAGTGTGTTCTGTGATACAGTAGCATTATTTTTGTGTCATTCTGGTTCCTGGACTAACATTCGAAACTATCCGTTCACAATAATTACGATGTTGTTGGTCGATCTGATGTATTTTGCAGTTTAGTTTCTTCCATTAGTGTTTTTTGGGATATAGTCCCTGATGTTATTTTTGTATGACCTTAGTCCCTAAACTAATAACTAATGGTGGTAATTTTTTTTTCCTTTCAACATTCCGTCCCCCCCCCTCCTCTCCCCTAATCCCTCCCTACCCGAAACCCAATAGTTAAGTTGGATTTGTGTATTTTTTTTTTGTCATTGAAAAAACAAAGAGCAAAAATCGCAATAATTGCTGAAATTAGGAGGAGAGAGATGAGATGTGGAGCATTTGATGAGAAATAGAACTGAAAACGGGATGATGCACAATAATTGCTCGAGTGGAAAAAGATGTATTTCAGTCGGAAAGAAATTCCAAGACTGGGTTTTGACCTACACGATCGAGGAATTAAAGTGGCAAGATTGGGTTCTGCAAATTATACTAAAAAAAACACAAAAACTGGAAGGGGGTTTTAGTGCCTATAATTAACCCGTTTAAACCTGAGTAAATGAGGTGGGAAAGAGATTGAGTGCAAAAAGGCGTTCGGAGCATAATATCCAACAGCATCCAAAGAGGTGTAAAACACGAACTTTGCCACCTCTAATGCCATAGTGCATGAAGCCATTTTCAATCCCAAATGGTCCATCCCTCACCGGCATGGCTCCTTTGGCTCTAAGCAGCCTAGGTGGTCCTGAATCACTACCATTTCATAGACCATCCACCTCAATTCAACCACTCTAGCTAGCTAGAAGTGGGCAGTACTGAAAAATATCCACCAGAATATATAACAATTTTTTCTTTACTTTTTCACAATTATTTCAAGAAATGTCCAGGAGATGGCCACTCCTTGGCGAGTACCAAAACTTAGATTTCTTTTCTTTCCTCCTAACCGAAATATGTATGAGGAGTATTATATTGTGCATCCTTTTCGTATTCTTCAAAGTCAATTAATGATTTTAATCATCAACTAAAAAAAAAAAAAAAAAAAAAAATCTCTGCCCCTCTCTCTCTCTCTGGTTAAAACTTAAAGGCAGACCGGTGGAATGGAGCCAATAGATTAATAGTCTTCTTGAGTTAAAAATATTTTTTAAAAAAAAAAAAAAAATTTGCGCCGGGGTCGGAGCACAAGTAGCATGTGCAGATGGGAAAATCATGGAAAGAAGACCATTTAATATGTTGATGTTCGGGTACTCTAATTAATACTAGTATTAGATAATTTAATCTAATCTAAAGCGTCGCCTGTAAATCCAACTTAAGAGAGCGAGCGTACGACTGACTAACTGCATGCGATAGCAAAGTCAATTTATACGAGTAACCGACCGCGTGTAGTTTTATTGAATCCTACATCTCCCTTGTGCAGTGGCTACCGGCTTAGGTATATTATTGGCATGTGGGATGGCGTATTAAGTATTCAAATTAATCACTTCTACAAAAGCTATGGGAACAAAGGTCTCGGTGACAGCAAAAATTCCTTAGCTCTTTGAGGTCCTATTTTGGTACTTTCAGATAATTAAATTACAAGATAATCAATAAATAATTCGGAATATTTGAATAACCTATTATTATTATTTGAAGAAATGTGCTAACGGCCGTTCCTTTTTTTTTTTTTTTTTCTCTTTTACCCCTTATCTACCATACAGTATAATAATATTCCAAGAGCTATTACATTTAAAAGAAAATAGATATTGAGATTCAACGGAAACTGTTCTAACAAATAGAGTTGACCGTAAAAAAAAAAAAAAAACCTTTTCAATAAAAAATAAAAAAACTTATATAAAATAATCGTCCTCCATATACAAATGAAACTGCGAAGCTCTCTCTCTCTCTCTCTCTCGAATCAAAGGGGAGGTTTTTACCTAAGTCATATAGCTCCACGCTAGCTAGAATCACATTAGTGGTACTCCTTGGTTTTAGCCCGATGTGTTCTGATCAATTTTTTTTTTCTTTTTGGACCACATAATAATAGTAATAAAATTATTACATCACTTATAACTCTGAATTCCGTTAATTACAACACTAGCAAAAAATGAGAACCCCCCCTACGTCTGGACTCCAGACTTGAGAAATAGAAGAAGAGTCCTTACTGAAAAATAAAAGTCGAATATTGATTGAGACACCAGCCAGGCGGGCAGGCTGATGACAAGGACGAGCTCACATGAGCCGAAGCCAACCAGATAGATAGTTGATTGTTATTATTTGATTTGTGGGGGGCCCATTGCACAGCATCACCCCTACCCATCCCATTCTAGCCCCGCGTATAAAGTCTTTCTTCTCTGCTCTGCCATCTCTCTCTCTCTCTCTCTCTTCCTCTCTAGCTCTCTCTGTGAAACTCTGAATGAATGAGGGAATAAATTACAAAGGGAAAATCGCCTAACTTAAGAAGCTTCCAGGGTGGGACTGGGGATTCATTTGCTCTCTCTCTCTCTCTCTCTCTCACACACAAACACGCACAGTAAAAGGGCACTCTCTTCTCGACCAAGGGAAAAGGATAGGAACATATCCCATTTGCGGCAGCGAATGGGATGGGATGCATTACTAGCGACGACAGGAGTGGTATTTTGAATCCATTTCGTGGATTGCTCTTCTCGTAATTCATGGTGTGGCTGCTCTTCCTCTCCAAACTAGGTGCTCTAATGATGCAGTAGTAGTCGGCAAGAAGAAGAAGCTGAAGCTGAAGAAGAAGAAGAAGAAGCTGAAGAAGTTGGTCGATCGCGCCTAAGAAGAAGAAGCTCTTCATTTTTTTTGCACTCCACCGCCACTAGGAGGTATACTAAAGAGTAACAGCACTATCATTTGGTTTTAATTTGGTGGGAGGAGTCTTAATTTGGTGTCCATTGGTCAAATAAGAATGCAACCGACCCTCGTTTTAGTGAAACTGGAAGCTGCTTTGGCTTTGTGTCAAGAGACCACTTATTGGCCCTCCTACTGAGGAATTTCTCAGCTAATTTATCCCTTCCTCTCAACACTAGAATTGATCGAGTGAGTGATTGTAAACCAACACCCCACCAACCCCCGCCCTCCCCAACCAAAAAAAAGAGAGAGAGAGACCAAAGCACGCCAACTAAATTAGTACGAAACAAAAGCCAAATACACTGGTTTAATTTGTATACCCCAGCACCCAAAAAAGAAAAGAAAAGTTTCCAGATTTCGAAGTTCTAGTCCAGTCTTGCAGCTTTTGAGGCCTTGCGGTGTTCATTTTTAACCCAAACCAACTATCATCTCCCCCCCCCCCCCCAAAAAAAAAAAAGGGATACTATGGTGGTTTACGTTTTTGCTAGTAACATATCCTCCTTGTTTCTCATCTTGCTTTTTAATTGGTACCTTTTCTCTGTGGCATCGTATGAAGAATAGATTGATCCATCCCGGATATAATTAGAGAAGCCAGCAGGATTTGGGAGGCTGCAATATCTGCAGGCGCCATATATAATTACTGAATATCATGAATTTCATGGCCCCTAGACAACCAGGAGGAGGAGGAGGAGGAGGAGGAGGATATTACGAGGAAGATTCATCAAGAGCAACCCGCCCTTTTTTCTCAGCCGTCTTCTGCTGCTGCTGCTACTCCTCAACATCATCATCATCAGTACCAGCAGCAGAGAGACCTCCTTCTCCCTCCATCCTACAACCACCACCAACCACGGGGACCGTGGGATGATAGGAGAGTCTCTTTCCGAGGCTACAGCTGTGGTGGAGCTTCCCAGCTTGATCTCATGGCGATGGATTCTTCTTCATCGCCTACTACAAACGGCAGCAGCTGCAGCAACATCGTTGAGGATGCCGATGAGCCTCGCGTGGGAGGAGGGAACACTACCAGTGCGCCGTTGATAATAGAGAGAGAACACATGTTTGATAAAGTGGTGACACCGAGCGACGTCGGCAAACTCAACAGATTAGTCATCCCCAAGCAGCACGCGGAGAAGTATTTCCCTCTCGACTCCTCCACCAACGAGAAGGGACTCCTCTTGAATTTCGAAGACAGAAATGGGAAGCCGTGGCGATTCAGGTACTCCTACTGGAACAGCAGCCAGAGTTACGTGATGACCAAAGGCTGGAGCCGCTTCGTCAAGGAAAAGAAGCTCGATGCCGGGGACATCGTCTCCTTTCAGCGCGGAGTGGGTGAGCTGGGCAAGGATCGATTGTTCATTGATTGGAGGCGCCGACCCGACGCTCCCGATCACCCTCAGTTGCCTCCTTCCATGTCCACTACTACTTTTTCGCAGCTGCTTCCACATCATCAATATTCTTTCCGCCATCCTTGGAACCATCCTTTCTACTTGCAGCATCATCAGCAGCAGCAAAACCCCAGGGACCATTACCAGTTGCTACAACTAAATAATGCTGCTACAGGTGTCGGTATTAACAGCAATCCCCATCCATCTCATCCTCATCATCTAAGCAACAACTACGCCTACGGCAATGTAATGACGGGAAACCCTTGTTCCGGCCCATTCATTTATCTCAGATCCGCTGCGGCTGCAAGGCCACATCCGGTCAATTTGGGAATCGGAACGGTGCAAATGGTGCAGAAAGGAGGAGGAGGAGGAGGCAGCGTTGGGCTGAACCCGGAGGAGGTGATGGTAGAGGAGGATGGGAGGGGGAGGAGCCAATGGTGTTTGAGTCGGTGCCACTGGTCCAAGGGAAGGCCGCAGCAAAGCGGCTGCGGCTGTTTGGAGTAAACATGGATTGCCCCATCTCGGAGTCGTCGTCGGAGGATCAGGAGGATGATAATTGTGACATACTTGTATTACCTTCCACTGCAGTCGCTCATCCTACAATGCCATCACAATTTCCCCACTTGTGTTCATCTCCACCTCCACCTCCGCCTGCTTCTTCTTCTTCTTCTTCTTCTTCTTCTTCTTCTTCAACCTGTCCTCTGCAGTTGAGCCATACAATTATGCCAGCCGTCCACCGCTCCACACAATGCCCTCCAACAACAAAAGCAGTAGCAGCGACAGCAAGGGCAAGGCATCTATGTCCTTGGATTTGGATATATACTTAGATGGAGTGGCACCGGGACTCGGAGTGACTAAAAATCTTCTAAGCTGCGACATATACGACTTGCGTGAATGCGGCCTTGCGTCCAAAGCCACAAATGCTAGTGCTATATATGATCAAGAAAGGAGGGAAGGAAGGATGAGCTCTTTCATTTGCTCCAAATTCATGCTGGCTGTGCGGAGACGTCCTCAAAGAAGAAAAGAAAAAGGAAATATGGCTGATGTGATCATCATGAGAAGCCCTCAGAAAGGTGGAAAACAAAAGAAAAAAAAAATTTCAATACTCGTATTGTTAAAACAGTGGTTTTTTCAATTTATTGTTATCTGCAATACTTACATACGGACTACTGCTGCTAGTACTCCGTTAATTTCAACTTAAATTAGATTTCATTCAACACGGATAGGTTGCATTACAGATCCTTCATGCCTCTTGTCTACCTATAATTTTTATTTCTTATCTTGCCTTGAATGCGCTGCCACCTCCTTTTGTAGGGCTTTGATTGCCCAACGTGTATCGTCGCTATATATAGGCTTTTTTCCCGTGGAGTATTGCTTCCAGAAAATCTTTCATGTCACTTCTTCAGCCTGTTTCTTTCCCTCGGGACAACTTACTATTATGTTAATCTTTTACTACATTATTATCTTTCTCTTTAGTGCTGTTCTTTTCAAGCTAACATCCTTGCTCCAGGCGTTCTCGCGGGTACAATGTGATGGAATTGAAGCTTCTTTTGCAATTTTTGTTTTTGTTTTGTTTCATTTGAACAATTAGCTCTGGTAGGTTTGTTATTCTTGTCGCTGCGTCGTTGGGCACGCCTCCTGCGCAGATCATTTGCCAGAGCTTTGAAAAGGTACGCCATCTATCTATCTCAATTTTTACACGTCCATCCATCATTCAGTCCTGCTAGGCTGGCTAGCTACTCCATTTCTAGAATTGTAGCTTTGCTCAAATTCAGTTTTTTCCCCAAAATTTTAGGTCGATTGTTTCCTTCTGTCTCCTGCCTCATTCCCATCTTTTCTAACCTCATGGCACTGATCAATGCTGCAAATCGATCCTTTTCATCCATCCGCAACCTGTCTTTAATTATTTTCGTTCAGATTCCAACCGTAGAAAAAAGGTGTTTCACGTCAACCCGGGGAGGTCGTCGCTCGTTTTGATAACTGTGTTCGGGGTGTCACCTCAGAAATCAGAACAATGTCTATTCATGGCTTTTAAAATATCTTTACCAACTTCCAACATTTTATTCCTCTTTTTCTTTTTCTACTAAGCCTAGTTCTGTCGTGTACCCTAATTTCTCGTGTACCCTACTCTATATATATATATATATTGGCTTGCAATATGCTGGATTTTTGCCTTTACCCGTTGGACACCTCTTTCGTGATTGTTAAATATTTCTTCTACTAAAACTAGCCATCTCATTACTATATATAATGGTCCAGATATCATAATGCCTTGCTGTGAGACTGTATGTTACATAACCATGGCGTCAAAAATCTAAAGTCTTATGTTCCTTCACCTCTATTCTCATTGAAGTCATTCATGTCGTCCAGACACCCTTTTAGCTCCTGAACTTTTCTTCTGTAACTCTTGTGCTTTCATTCTTTTGGTTTTGCAAGAAGCAATGGAGGTCACTAAATTAACTTAATTTGCTGAAGAAACAGGACCTTGTTACTTATGAGAGTTTAACGTCATACAAAGTTAACCATAGGATACGAGCTGCTGGGCTAAAAGCTCACACATCTTTGAGTCTTTATTTCCACTTCAAAGTTGCCGCTTTAGTCCATTTAGTAAAGTTCACAAGAATATGTAGTCAGACAGTAAGTGCATATATATATTCATGTTGTTTTGAGTTTCCCAATCTTCTAAACTTAATTTGTGCGATGTCACTAAGCATTGCAGTATATGAGCTTTCAGTTTTCTTAGTCGCCCACACCCCCTTGCCAGGAAAATGAATTCTTCTTAACAGAATCAACCTGCACAAGCATTCACAGCAAAGATCTCTCTGACTGTAGTTTAGTAATAATGAAGTGTTACTTTCCTCCTTGTCCTTGTTGAATTGGTTCGGTATATGATCCTAGCTACATGGCCGTACGTAGATGGATTCATGTCCACATATTTATTTGATTAGAGATGAGGAGCAAAAGAATCAAGAGTTTATCTTTCTTTAAGCAATGATTGTTTGAAGCCTTTTTTTTTTTTGGCTTCCATGGTCAATTATGTGTTCAATGTTCTATTACTACTGAATGATACAAGACTACTCTAATAAGATAACTTGAGCATTTCCCATACATTAACAACTATTTTGTAAAGACAGTTAAGAAAAACAAGCTGTGAAACCATGCTCGGATCATCATAATTGTTCTGAAAAAATATGTTAGTGCAACATAGAAAGCACTGTTGTTATAAAAGCAACCCTAGCTACAAGGTTTATTTATTTATTTATTCAAAAATATTTAATTAGTTTCTTAAAAATGCAATAGTTAGCTGAGCGTTGTGCTTTTCATCAAATCAGCTCCATCATCTTTAGCTTCTACTTATAGGTAAAATGGAAGAGTTTTTGCTGCTTTGGTTGATTCTTTTTCCAGATTCTATATGTTAGGTTGGATGCGCAAGTCTTCAATCCTATAATTGAAATGCTATCTTCTGTTTTCGAAGTTTTAAGGAAATAGTTTCCATTTCTTGGGAGTTGGGTGGAATCAGGGAGAACAACGCTCAAGCTACAGTCATGTCTAAGATATATTCTTCATAACAATTGTTGCGAAGAAACATGAACGAACACTTAATTTGGAAATTTTTTTTTAAAAAAAAGTTGTTTAATTTTGGAAAACTGATTTTGCACATTCACCCTTGACATCATTTTTTAGCTAATTATTATATAGTTTGGCAACCAAATATTCCGCCATTAGTCTATTGTCAAACTGATGCAAAATAATGTTTAAAGCTTAAAGAGTCATTCAAATTGCAAAGGGGAAAGATAAAAAGAAAGATAAGTGGATGCATGCCTTTTTGTTAATTGCTGTGGTCTAAACTCAGGCAGTTAATACTCTTGTTTATATAGATGACAGGCAGTGTTGTTGTGTTAGTTAAGGTATATATTAGCAGAAAATTTTGTTGTAAAGATGAATATTACACGTTTGCTAATATATTACTTGAACTTTTTATTCGAATCGAAATAAATATTGTTGTGTTGTTGCTGTTGGAAGGTTTAAGCATCAGCTTATTTAATTTGTGTTACTTTTGGGAAGATGATGTGAATCACTGGTTCCTTGCCGAGCACTAAATCGAATGGCTTGGAGACATTCTTTCTCTAATTCTAATTAGGTAGGTAGCCAAGGAGGGTATCTCCAGATACATCATCGTCATTTTGTTTAACAAGCCAAATTCATTTTTAACTTGATTGATAACTGCAGGCTGTGTGGATGCAGGACCTTTAATTTGATCGCAAACGTAGCCCTTTGGCGTTGATCACTGATCGATGTCAGTTACATGCTCAAGAAGAAGAAGAAGAAGAAGAAGAAGAAGAAGAAGAAGAAGAATCCAACAAGTGTTGTAGGTTGAATAAACGCTGAATGAACGAAGACAGTGCTTGAAATGACAACCGATTGTAATCATCATCTGAACAGATTCCATTCCATACCTATTATTATTAGATTTAGCTAGCATGATTTTGAATAGGAGGGACGTTTGCTCGGATTTACTTGCACCACCAGGCCGGGTGGTCAATGAGATCCATCGACCGTCACTGCAGCCTTATTAGTTAGTTCATACGACCGTCTTCTTGTTAAAATAACATTACTACTACTCTCCTATATATATATATATATATATATATATATTACGCGCCCAGAGAAGATATAATTAAGTACTAGCTACTATAGTATAGTTAACTTGTTGGATTTCTTTCATTTTATCCAAATATAAGATTACTATACATATGTAAGTACACGTGTATTTCTTGCTCTGCGAATTAGCTAGGTGACATATCATGCGCATTTTGCAGTTATCGTCGACGGAAGATGCTGCTGGGGTCGAAAAGATCGTTGCATTAATTCTGCACTAGTTACTACCACCGCACCGCACCACAGTTGAATTAATAGGAGCAAAAATAGTACGTACGGAAAAGGCTTAATTAAAAGCTGGGTGCGGAAGGCCTGGAGGGGTTTCCTTGTTTTACCTACTGCATGCTGTGCTATTCTTCTTAGTTGCTCAGCTGGCCGCCGAGTGAAAGTGCAAACCATATCCCATCATCATCATTTCCAGTTTCTAGCTATTTTCGACGTACCACTGCTCATCCTACTCACCGGTCACCGCTCTCTGCATGTGTATCCTATATATATGGTCCGGTGGTAGACCTTAGATTAGGTGAGGGCTTTTTTTTCTTCTTTCCTTTTTTGAAGGAGTTTAATTGGGGGCAGTACGTACTACGTAGTAGGGGACCCTAGCCTATGTACATGGGGAGGAGGCGTGATATACTCCCTCCGTTCCTTATTAGATGTCCTAATCCATTGTTTCTTTTTATCTGTCATTTTATGATATCAAGAAAGCATTTATGAACTTTTTTCCAAATTTACCCTTGCTTACCCTTTCAACTTTCTTGAATTGGAACTCTAAATAATTAAATGCAGTATTTGTAGCATTAACAATAAAAGTAGTTGAAGAGATGAAGAGAGATAAAGGGTAATTTTGAGAAGTAAAGTTAAACTTTTGTTGACTTTTAGAAAATAACCAACTTTCTTAATCTAAGAGAATTAGTTATTCAGGCCATCTAATAAGGAACGGAGGGGAGGAGCAGTATGTATGTATGTATGAAATGCTTGTACATTTAATTCAGTACTGAATCTTGAAAGACGTGGAAAGTTATTTAGGCGAGTAGCTAGCTAAAGGCTTAAAGGCTGAAGGCTGAAGGCTGAAGGCTCAAGGCTAAAGCTTGTGTATACGTAGTAGGTCATCTTTTGGCAAAGCAAACTAGCAAAGCAGTCAGCAGCAAACCAGACCCAGGTCTCTGCAAAAAAGTCAGCCACTGCCCGCTCTGATTCCCGCTGCGTTGTACTTGTACACTCTCCCCTTCTTCTACAGTACTATATTCAGTATAGCAAGTGGTCTGCATTTGTCGCTGGGGACAAAGCTAACGGAACCAGAGCTTTTCCACGTACTCTTAGCGCTCTAACCTGGTTCCGCATTTCAGTAGCGTTTCGCTACTCACTCTGATGCCGCCCAAACTACTACCACATCCCTTCATTTTTATTCGTCAGTATTGTGCCTACACTTTGCACCTCAAAACAAAGACATCTTCTTGTTCTTGAGCCAGTAGTGTAGGCATCAACCTTAGCTGACGATTTGTGGCCGCAGACTGTTGTCAATATACCGTATAAACCCTTGAGATCGTTATCAATGGGTAGAACACTTTTTTTTTTTCTTCTAAATAAAGGCTTTATATTTAACAATTTTTCTACGAGACGCTTGAAGTCTATTTTTCCTTAACGTTTTTTTCCCCCTAAATCCTAAATATTATGTGAATTCTGGTGGAGGGAATGATTATTTTACCAAATTGTGATGCAATTTTAA